TTATGATCTAAACACTCTTATATTTCTTTACGGACTCTAGTGATCTAAATATTTTTATATTTCTTTACAGGGAGAGTACATACGTACATACCTATCAGAATGAACATGCATCTCAAGTGAGCCGGCCGATCGAGCACGCACGTACGATGAAAAACAGCTACTCCTACTACACTAGCTAGTACGATGGGCAGGAATAAGGCAACGGGAGGTGAGAGCGTGACCGGCCAGACCCATGTGTGTATTGTCGTCCGCCACGTCAGATACGTGCGCCAAAGCAAAGCCAAGATCTATCTATCCGGATAACATATCCGCCGCGCGCCCTACCTACGCTACTCCACGCGCCAACCTTTTCTTCCAGGCAAGGAAAATATGCACACCCACTTGTGCTACTCACTTTTGGCACTGCTTGCTATTACAAGTGCAAAACCCGTCTCGATTCAACGCATGAACGTGGAGAAGAATTTGGTCGTCGTCGGTCAAATTGCGCGGCAACACGTACACGCGCGCGGCCTAAAACCGTCGCTCACTCCGAGTCGCGACGAGATAAGCAAGTGATCAGGTGGAGCTAGTCTACCACCATGGCATACGGGCCTAGGGTGGTGCGGTGGCGACCCCGCGCGAGCCCGACGGACGGCATGGACTCCGGCAGCACGAATTGGGGCGGCCCGCTGTGCGCATGCAACTTGGGACGCTCTGCATGCCCGTTTGGATTCCATTGGATCGATCGACCGATCACGTTTTCTTTCCTTTTAGCTGCCCTCCTTTTGCCGCCACTTGTGATCTAATCTAGATGCCAATCATGGTGGTTAGAATAGGATCGAAAGAGGGCAAAGCAAAGCAAAGCGTAAAGGAGGCCCGACCGACCGACCGACGGGATAACGCGATCGATGCCATAAACAAAGGGGATCAGTCCCTACTCGATCGATGGATCACACCCAGGGCGCAAGATAAGATTGTATACATGACAATAATCCCATTGTCAACACCGACCTGGACCTGGTTGGTGGTTGCCATGCACCTTAACCGTAGAAAGCATGCTCTTTTACCGGTCTACGTGGATCCATCGATGCTGCTAGCTGCTTGCTGCCTTGCCGTGCCGCCGGCTGCCAGTGCCGGGGCCAAGGTTGAAAAAGTACTTAAGGGTACGGAGCGCGAGAGGTCAAGGAACCCTCGAATCGAATCGATAGAAGCAATTCGAAGAAAGCGTCGACTGGTTGTTGCACTTGCATGCTCTGGGTAGCTTGGGTGGTCGGAATGGGCATCATTTATATACGTGAGATTGACGGATCGCCATGAACCGCACGAGGGAGAGAGAGAGAGATCTCCCTCGATCATTCATGGCGATGGACGGCGGGCGTACATTCCACAATCATCACGGCGGCCTAAAATATCCCGCGTGCCCGGCCGGCGCCACCACGTCGCCGACGCGACGGGGGTGAGCACGACCCGACCGCCGCCATGATTGACACTTGACCACACTGAAGCCATCGGTCGACATGAACATGTACGCATCTTGGTGACGAGGATCATCTTTACCGAAAGCGTAGGCGCCGGGCCGTACGTTTGTGCTTTAGAGCATCTTTCCAGCAAACCGTGGTACCTCAAATTTCGTTTACGAGATACTGTAAATCGAATTTAATACCCTGAACGGCACGAAGTATCAAATCTGTAAGCATATGTTGTATAATTTAAATTTTAAACTAGCACTTTGCGTCACTTACATCGCCGAAATTCATACGAGAGACAGAATTTATACTAGCTTAAAGCATAATAAAAACATAAATCTACTCTCATCATCATCAGACTTCTTGCGTGGAGGTGGTACTCCATCAGCGAGTTCGAGAAGACGAACGCCAGGTCGTATTCCTCCTGCACCGCTGCCGTCCACGCCACGTCACCTTCTTCACCGACGGCGGCCGCCTCCTTTGCCTCATACCACATGCGCTCCGCCTCCCGGAGTCGCTTGGGTGCGGGCCAGAAGATCTCGTCGAGCCGGTCAAAGTTGCTCCAGGCCCGTCGACCATCGCTTGCACCTTGCGCCAATCCTCCATCGGCAGGTGGAGGGAGGAGCTCCCCGCCTCGTCGTCATGGCCGTGCTTGCACGGCGGCGAGCCGTCGCGGCCCCCTCGGCCACCCCTCTCGCGACCTGTGCTCAGAATCGAGGCGAACTTCCGCTCCCTTTGCGCGCGGCAAACAGTGGCCGGAGGAAGAAGGATTTCTCGCCGGAGAAGACGATTTGCAGCGGAGGGGGATACGGAAATGCCGCATGCGAACCCTAAAAAGCGGCCACTACAGTATACATGCGGGAATCAAGGGGCGGTTATGGGCCGATAATAAAAAGAATACAGACCGGGCCGTTTTTACGGAATGGTTAGGCCTGTTTTTTGAAGCGAACTGCAAATTCGCCGTAATTTAATGAAAATCACTAATTAAGGAGTGCTCGTTACAAAGATCATTCCCACCTTTTTAGGTTGCGACAAGTGGCGTGTTGCATGTGCGCTACTTATCGCAACCTGAAAGTTTTCATATTTTTTTCGTAGATTCGTTTATTTAAAATGGTTTATCTCTTAAATAGTGGGTCTAAATCTCGAACCATTTTCACCGTTGGATTCCTCGCGTTGAGATCTTTAAAACTAGATCCCATATTGATAGGTTTTGAATTTTTTCTTCATGAAAGAAACAAACAGAAAGTACAGGTTTTTCCCTTTCCGAAAAAGGCACGTCATGCCTCTCGCGAAATCACAACCGTGCCTTTCATGGAATCAAAATCGTGCCTCTCACGAAAGAAAAAAAAAGAAAACTTGTTTTTCTTGTTTCCGAGAGGCATGGCCGTAACTCTCGCGAAAGCACAATGTGCCTCTCGCGGAAGGAAAAAAAATAGAAAACACGTTTTTTTCCGTTTCCGAGAGGCACGGCCATGCCTTTCGCGAAAGCACAGCCGTGCTTCTTGCGGAAGCAAAACCGTGCCTCTCGCGAAAGGAAAAAAATAAAATTGTTTCCGAGAGGCACGGCCGTGACTCTGGCGAAAGCAAAACAGTGTCACTCGCCAAAGCAAAACCGTGACTCTTGTGAAAAAAAAGAAAACACGTTTTTCCGCTTAAATTTTTTATTTTCTTCTTATTCAAAAGCTTAGGAGGACCGTTGGAAAATTGAAACGTTAAAAAAACCTGAAAAAATCGTTTAGAAAGCAGAAAACGTGTACGAAATAAAACAAAATCTAGAGGAAGCGCCAATAGCGCGACACGTAGCGGACGACTGAGAGCTCGCTGCGCTGATCATTGTGAGACTCTCAAAGGAGCCCTTGTCAATTAGTTGCTCCCTTAACTAATTTTTATGAGGTGCCCCCTTAACCCTCAATCACAATTTATCTGTTTGTAAAACCTATGTAAATCTATGTATGTGTAGCATTATTCCTAATTTAATGGGTCGGTGAGCTTTCAAGGGAGACGCTCTTGTATATGCAAATGTACAGCACACACGTCTGTATCTTTTTCTTTTCTTTTTGACCGTGTAGCCGGCCAGAATTTGTTAGTAATCAATCAACTGAAAGTGACCGATCTACAAGTATTTAAAGCAACTTTAATGGAGCGACCCATTTCGTTCGCCCGCATTTGTTTGGGTCGGTGCGGACAAAAGTGATGGCCCAACGCGCTGACCCAAACGGACGCGCGTCCGTTTTTCGTCCGCGGGCGACCCATTTCGGTCCCATTTTTGAGCCGGATTTGTGTCGACGCGGACACGAGACGGACGCGCGCGCTCGCCCTTTTTCCTCACCGGGCCCGCTGGTCGGTGGCACATTGGATTCACACCCTCGCCCGCCTGCTACGCCGCCGGCCATTTTTTTAGATAAAAAAGAATACATAGATAATTTTAGGTACACAAATAAAAAGAAAAGACCACTACTCATCGATTTCTGAATCCGACTCGGTAATGTCCTCCTCCGATGTCTGAATGTAGGCGTCAGCATACGCCTCGTCTTCAAAGTCCCAACCCGCCGTTTCTCATAGCTTCAATTTCAATTGAGCTGCCTGCTTCCGCGAACGCTTGTCCTCCCGATAGGCGGCTCGCCCCCTCCTCCTCGCGTCCCTCTCCGATTTCAATTGCTTGTAGAACTGGCGCTCGTCGACGATGTCCTGCGGGTAGCCTCCACGCCACAGCACCAAGGCTTCCACGTCCTTCTCTGCGATGGCGAGGCGACGCTGCCGCCTCCGGTGGACACGACGATACTCGTCGGTGAAAAGCCGCGGGAGAGGCGCCAGATCCTGCGCCCGCTGGCTCGACACGTTGGGAAAATTCATATCCCGACGAGGCCTCAGAAGGCGCCACGCCGCCGCGTCGTGTGCGCGGGCCGCCTCCTCTGCGGTGTCGAAGGTGCCGAGGGCGAGACGTTTCTCGCGAAACCAGATCTCGGCGGAGAAGGCGCCGGAGCGTTGCTCGCGGACTCCGCGAAAATCCGAAGCGCGTAGGCGGCGGATCGACATGGTGGCGCAGAGGCGGCGAGAGTGGGCGGCCGATAGAATGTGGAGAGAGCGCCTTCTTTTATAGCGAGCGCCGGCCGCAGCGCGCGCGCGAACCTTTCCCGCGCGTTGGAGCATCAAAACCAGCGCGCGCGAACCTTTCCCGCGTGCTGGAGCGTCAAAATCAGGGCGACGGCACGATGTTAAATGCGCGCGGTCATGAAAATGGATTGGCCCATTGGGCGCACTGCCGACCCAAAACTAAAAGAGAGCGGACGGCGGACGGACGGCCGATCCAAACGGACAAAAAGCGGACAAAAACACCGTCTGTTTGGGTCGGCCCGTTGGAGTTGCTCTTACAGATAGAATATGTTACTGACAGAAATTAACTAAGTGATGCACCATCGCACGCTGTACAGTTGCATTTTGTACGTACGTGTACCTACCAGCTGCACAAGTACCAACGACAGAGAGCTACTCCCTCTCTTTCAAAATATAAAAACGTTTTTGACACTACGGAGGGAGTAGCTGACAAAAGAAAGGTCAGAGGTGGAAGCGCCTCGTCCGGACTCCGGACTCGTCGGCCACTGTGCCGGCGGCCGAGGCCTGCGCAGCCGTGACTACGTCGGCACGCTCACGGCACGTCTGGGGAGGGGGAGACTCGGTGGCTGCCGGCGATTGGGCGGCCGCGACGACGAGGGCGCGGCGGCAGGACGGGCAGGTGGAGCTGGAGAGGAGCCACACGTCGACGCAGGCGGCGTGGAAGCCATGTCCGCAGTGCGGGAGCACGCGCACCTCGTCGCCGCGCGTGAACTCCGCCAGGCAGATGGCGCATTCCGGCCGCTCCTCGTCCACCTTCCTCGGCTCCGGCTGCCACGACACGGTGGGCAGCGACTCCAGCGCCTTCTTCTTCATCCCCTTGCACGGCGACTTGGCCATTGCACCCGGCGCGTCGACGGAGAAGGCGGAGGGGTTGCACATGCGGGAGCAGCGCGCGACCATCCCCAGCCCGACCACGCAGAGCACGAAACAGAGCACCGCCGCCAGGATGAGCAGCGTGTCCGTGTGCACGCTCGTCGCACCGCCGGCCACCACGGCCGGCGCGGCGGCCATCGCGGCCAGGCGGTCGACGGGCTGCTGCAGCAGGTGGCGCGGCATTCTCGTTCTTTCTCGGTGGGACAGGATGAGACGAGACTTGAGAGCACTGTGGCAGCAGGGGATGGAGGGGCCGGTTTAGGTCGCCAGTGTGCTGTGTGCAGTGGGGATTGCAAAGGAGGGAAGAGTTAGGGCTTAGTTTGGCAGCAAAGTATTTTTGAAACTGTGGTAATTGAAAACCAGAGTATTCTCCTGGATGGGCATTGAATACTACAGTTTTTTAAAAACAATGTTTTTTTTCAGTTTTACATGTGTTTGGTTGGTGTTGTTTTACTAAAAATTTTGACCAAGAGTTTTAGCGTGGATGATTGATTGAGTGAGAGTAATTAGCGGCTGCGAACGGCGGCCGGCTGCATGCAGCTCCATGCACACATCCGCCGGACCTAGATGCTAGGATCTGTAGACTACCCTTGATGCACCTACATGCATGGGCTGCTGTTTCACATAATCCACCTATATATATCCCGCTTGATTCGCTCATGGCGCTGCAGAGAAGAGATAGGACTTGCACGAGACGCTGGCTGGAAGAAGAACCTAAGAGACCTACTACTCGTAAATAGGATGAGATTGGCTATAACCAGGAGTTTACCATATAACTGAAAGAGGGAAAATAGGATCAGATCGCGGCTGGTATCCTTATCTCGACGTAGACGGCAACGCCAACTGCAATCTCCCGACGATTTCTCTCCGTTCTGTTTTAAAAAAAGAGGTCGGGACCTCTGTTTCAAAAACCACAAAAATACCATGGTTTTTGGCATACTGTGGTTTACAAAACTTCGGTTTTTTCTGATGCCAAACACAGCTAAATATTCAAAACCATGGTTTTTTCAGAAACCACAGTATTCTCAGAAAACTTTGAAAAAACTTTGCTGCCAAACGCAGCCTAGGTGTTTGAGCTGCGGTTTTATAATGTCAGGATTAGATCGGTCATGCTAAGATATGATTCATAGCGAAGCTCATGCTAAGCGTGAATGTCACTTTCGAACCATTCCTGTGGAATATTTCCATTGCTACATTCCAATCTCCCTGCCTTTTTCTTCACCATTTCTGCTACAACTGGATACATGTCACTCTCCAAATTAGGTGCGACGTATCTGGGCTACTTAATCTATGCTTTGCTACTTATGAGTACATTTATTTAAAATTTAGAATCTTGCACTCGAGATGGAGATACAAGCATCTCTCGCACTTTCCCGGAAAACCTTTGACCCTTGAAGATTTTCTGGTTTTGAGTACTTGATCACAGTCACAAATAATGGTACCAGTGTACTATACGATCGTACATACATATCTGAACATTTAAGCAAACCAACCAACCATAGGTTCTCCCTCCGTCCGATAATATAAGAGCGCTTTTTATACTAGTCTATTATGGGACGGAGGAAGTACGTGCTAATGCAAATACACAACATTTAGGTCCGGGATAATTGATAATCAAATTCTCTAGGGAACAAGGGCTATAGGACTAACCAGTAATAAAAAGCACAAATTATATTAGAACAACCATTTCAACGGAAATCTGACAACCGGGTCCCACTAGTAGGTGGCGCTCCTTTTTAGCCTGAGCTCAGTAACTATAGGAGTAACCAGTAATGAAATGAAAATGTGACTGAAAATTCAAACTACTCAAAACATATTTCAGTACAAAACAGTAGCATATTTCAGTAACAAACATGAGCATATTTCAGCAACAAACGGGAGCATATTTCAGCCATACATAGTTCAACGAGATGGCAATTCATGGTTCATGTTTTACTGGAAGTGGGATGGATTGAAAAAAAACTGTGTGTGTGTGCGCGTGTGGGGGGGGGGGGTGGTGGTGGTCAAAGCAGGATGCTAAGTTTTTGCCGGCTCATGTCTATTCCAAGGTCCATACTCAGTAATTTTACGGGTGTGGCGTGTTCCAGATTTGGGTACTGCTGAAACGGGTTTGAACCTGGGAGATGAGACAGGTATTATAATTTACTCAACAGCATCCCCGTGGGGTTAGAAAACACACTCATCTCCGTCCTCTAATAGGATAAAAAGAACCTGCGAGGACGCGGGTTTCATGGCCCCATTGCCATCTTGAGCCACCACCAATCCCTCTTGTGTGGTACTTTTCTCACAAAAAGCAAGCCCTGGATTGTAGTACTCTGCCTGACAAAAGCCCCTGCATGTCAGCCGTATTACTATGTACTCCCTCCGTCTTGAATTTTTCTTGAATTACTTGTCGCAGAAATGAATATATTTAGATGTATTTTTAGTTCTAGATAATCAATTTCTCTCCATTTATACAACAAGTAATCCGAGACTGGGAGAGTATATTGTAGCAAACTCATTTGTATAGCAACAATTGATATTTAATAGGTGGGTCCCAGCACAAATCTCAATGCAGATGTGGATGATCGATTCTCTACCGCTAGGTATCGAAACGGTTAATAATGTCTCTGCGAGCCAACATATCCTCCTTTTCTCCCTGAGCTCACACATGAGTCCCCCAAGAAAGAGCGCTGCTACGCAGACGACGATGTGCGGACGATTTATGCACGGCGCTGCACATCAGGTCGTCCATGCATATCATCAAAGTCGAGCAAATGGCTGGATATGGCATCGTGCAACTATCGTGCGATCGATCCATCGTCTGCATAGCAGTTTCACCCAAGAAAAGGTGGTAGCATCGGTGGCAAAGCTCTCTCTCCCCGAAGCTCATTATTGTTCTAGCCTCCTGTCCATCCTCACATGATTCATCTGCGCGTGGGCTGGAGCTCATTCCTGTATTTTGGAGCATGGTGCCGTCAGCGACATCCCACATCGTGTGCCCAGCGAAGGAGTGGGAGCTTTCACTCCCAGTGGACTCCCATTTTATTCATTTGATCATATTTGTATTCATGTATGATTTGAACAATTCTTTTCATTCCAAATGTTTGTTATTGTTTAATTTATTCGGATTTGAACATTTGTTGTAATGAGATGATTATTGTATTGTATGATGCTGGAACACCATAATTTTTTACTTATCTATTTATGTTGTTGTTGTATATATATTATATTGTTAAAAATTATGAATTTGCCTAAAACCCTAAAAACAGTTTTGTGGATCTGTTTCGCCGGAGCCCACGTGGTACCAAAAAATCGTTTTCGAGAGAACCTTCAAATGAATTTGCTAGAGGCCATTTTGCAAAATCGCTAGAGATGCTCTAATGAATCAAAAGCTACAAACAAGCAAAAGAAAGCTGACGGGAGAAATTGGTTCGTCGAGATTGGCGTGGGGCCTAAAACCGCCACTGACGATGGACGGCGGTCAGGTGGAGCTAGCTTAGCCTAGTGGCGAGGCGACCCCAGATATCCATGGATGGACGCCCCCGGCGGCTGGCCGGCGGCCCGCTCTACCGATCGAGTTGGGAGTTGGGACATGCCCCCTCCCCGAGTCTCCTCCTCCCCTCTGCCTTTGCGCTTTGGGTCTAACTGGGTCACGTTTCTTTTACATTTTGCCCACTTGTTATCCAGATGACAATCATGATGGCTAGAACTAATGGCATCGAAAAGGGAACAAAAAATACTAGTACAAAGCAATGCGTACGTGAAAAGGAGACGATAAGCCGACTTGTAAAGCGCAGTGCCTACTAGACGCATCACAAAATTGTACTCCTACTATAAGCCCTCCCTCCCATGGTCAACAACCGCCTGATTGGTGGCGTAATCGTAAAATGCTCGCGCTTCTACCGGCCGACGTGGATCCATCCATGCCGACGCCGCCGCCGGGGCCAGAGAAGAAGCATTGTAGCCAAGCTATCGAGCGCCGGAGGTGGAGGAAACACTCGAAGCGATTTGATTTGACGTGGAAATTAGGTGCAGAGTTGTTGCATCTGCTTGCATGGGTAGCCCATCATTCGTCGGCGGGGTCGACCGTCGACGGATGGCGATGAACCGCACGAGAGAACCTCCCGCGACCACTCATGGCGATGGGGCCGCCGTGTCCGCCGTCCTTACGCACACGCGTCCGTGCAGCCCGGCGTACGTACTGTACCCAACGCATCGCGGCACATCACATCACTGCCCAAAATATCCGGCGTGCGTGCGTGCCCGGCGCCACCACCTTGCCGAATGCCGGCCACGACGCGACGGGGGCGAGCGCGACCGCCGCGGCGCCGCCATGATCGGCACTTGACCCTCTTGCACTAAAGCGACCCGTCGGTCTGTAGAAAATATGATGGAAGCGTTCTATCCTTTCAAGAGAGGGCCGCGGATATTTATTGATAATGATGGGGCTTATCCCATAAGCGCATACATAACTTGGAGTACAAGAGAGAATAGATAGAGATGAGAGTTTAAACTAGATACTAGTATATCTCTAACTAACTAACCCTATAACAAAAGTATATGCGCCGGCCCATAGGCCTACATGAGATATTTCAACACACCCCCTTAATCACAACTTGATCAAGTTGAGATTACGTCTAAAATTCTCAAAACTCCTTGTAGGCAACGCCTTGGTAAAATCATCTGCAATCTGATCTCCAAAATGAATAAACCGAACGTCCAACTCCTTGTTGGCAACACGTTCTCTGACAAAGTAAAAATCTATCTTGATATGTTTCGTTCTGGCATGAAACACTGGATTAGCAGAAAGATAAGTGGCGCCAAGATTATCACACCATAAACAAGGAGTTTGCACTTGTATCACTCCAAGTTCCTTCAGCAAAGACTGAAGCCAGATAATTTCTGTAGTGGCATTAGCCAGTGCCTTATACTCAGCTTCTGTACTAGACCTGGAGACAGTAGCCTGTTTCTTTGCACACCATGATATCAAATTTGGACCAAGAAAAACTGCAAAACCACCTGTGGACCGTCTATCATCAACACTGCCAGCCCAGTCAGCATCAGTAAATGCACTGACAAGTGTGGATTGAGACTTGCTGAATAATAGTCCAACATTTACTGTATACTTCACATATCTTAAAATAGCGCTTAGCTGCAGTCCAGTGCAAGGTGGTAGGTGCATGCAGAAACTGACATACCTTATTTACGGCAAAAGATAAATCTGGTCTAGTAAGGGTTAAATATTGAAGTGCACCAATCATACTTCTGTACTGAGTGCTATCTTCCTGACTTAGGATCTCTCCTTCATACAAGGACAGTTTCTCTGAACTGGATAATGGAGTTGGCGAAGGCTTGCAATCCTGCATTCCAACCCTTTTCAAGAGATCATTAGCATATTTTTCTTGAGACAAGACAATACCATCTTTGTTCCTTTTTTACTTCAATGCCGAGAAAGAAGTTCAAATCTCCCAAGTCTTTCAAGGCAAACTCAGAGCCCAGGTCCTTTAGGAGTGCTGTCACTGCTTCATCAGATGAGCTTACAATGATAATATTGTCAACATATATGAGCATGTACATTGTTATTTTGGACTTGTTGAAAATAAACAATGAAATATTAGACTTGGAAGGAACAAAACCAATAGCTTGCAACTTCATACTCAAGCGATGATACCATGCTTTTGGGGCCTGTTTCAGACCATAAAGGGCCTTATCAAGTTTGCACACATGAAAGGGTGCATTCTTGTTTTCAAACCCAGGTGGTTGTTTCATGTAAACCTCCTCTTCCAAAACACCATGCAAAAACGCATTCTGCACGTCCAACTGTCGTAGGCTCCATCCCCTAGACACAGCAACAGATGAAACCAATCTGATAGTAGCAGCTTTGACAACCGGACTAAAGGTATCCTCGTAATCTATTCCATACCTCTGTTTAAAACCTTTTGCCACTAGCCTGGCCTTGTATCTATCAACCGTGCCATCTGCTTTCATTTTAATTTTATAAACCCACTTACAGTCTATCAAATTCTTACCTTGACTACGTGGAACCAAGTGCCACGTCTCATTTTTCCTCAAGGCCATATATTCTTCTTCCATGGCCTTCTTCCATTTTGGATCTGTCAAGGCTTCATCAACCGAACGTGGTTCCCCTGTTGTACAGGTTAAACCAGATTTCAAAATATTTTTGTAATTTACAGGCTGAATTTTTCCTGTTTGAAGTCGCGTGCTGGTGCGTGTAGCGCCCCCTGGTCCGGGCGCAGAAGATCCCACACCCGATCGTGCAGGCCTGTGTGGTGGCGATCCCGATGAGGATCCTGCATCTGGCGAACCAGAGGGAGATCCCCAACCGGACTGGATGGGCGAGGCAGCGACCGCATCGCCGTCTGACGCAGCCTCGTCTGCACGCGCGTCGGGACCCACCTCAGGCGCGTGAGTGGGGGACAGCCGTGGACCCGCAGCACGCGTGGCGGGTGGAGAGCGGCCCGCTTCAGCCCCGCATGAGCCGTTGCCGCCCGTGCGTCCCGAGGCAGAATCATGTCACGCTGGCGGCGGCGTATCTGCATGGGATCGCTCGCATGCGGGTCCCGAGGCATGCACAGGCGCAGGCGAATCGTCCTTGTGTCGCGTGCATTCGTCTTCTTCCGGAGCATGAAATATGGGCTGATATGCACTGTTTTCAGCGCCATTTTCTGCACGAAAAATTCTGTACTTTCTGCACCATCAATAGGATTAGTAGCATGAGAATTATTCATGTGATCAGTAGTATTGTTGCCCCCTTGATCTAAGCCGGAAAGATGAGCAGGAAGAAGGAGAATCGCTTTTTGTAAGAGAGCGTCGGCGTTTGGATGGAGATCTCTAAACGGAAAGACTGTCTCATCAAAAACGACATCACGGGAGATATACACCCGACCGGTGGAAACATCAAGGCACTTGACGCCTTTATGTTGGGGGCTATACCCAATGAACACACACTGTTTTGACCGGAAAGAAAACTTTCTCGAATTATATGGCCGTAGGTTTGGCCAACACGCACACCCAAAGACGCGGAGAGAAGCATAGTTTGGTGTACTGTGTAGGAGACGTTCGGTGGGTGTTTCAAAGTTGATAACTCGACTAGGTAGAATGTTTATAAGATGAGTGGCAGTGAGAAAAGCTTCATCCCAGAACTTGAGGGGCATAGATGCATTAGCAAGTAGGGACAGACCAATCTCAACGATATGTCTGTGCTTACGTTCAGTCGAGCCGTTCTGTTGATGAGCATGAGGGCAAGAAACATGGTGAGAAATCCCTAATTTTTGAAAGAAAGGGTTCAATTTTTCGTACTCACCACCCCAGTCTGACTGAACTGAGATAATCTTACTATTGAATTTTCATTCAACGAGTGCTTGGAAATTTTGGAAGACTTGAAACACATCAGATTTATTCTTGATAAGATAGATCCAAGTATACTTGCTATAGTCATCAATAAAGCTTACATAATATTTGTATCTGCCAACAGAAAGAGGTGCTTGCCCCCATACATCAGAAAAAATGAGTTCTAATGGTTTGGAAGAGACACTAGTTGACACGGGATAAGGAAGCTGATGACTTTTTCCTTTCTGACATGAATCACAAACTGTTTCATTGCTAGGCTCACCAACAAACGGGAGCTTATTTTTCCTAAGCACACGATGAACAATAGTAAAAGAAGGATGCCCTAGACGATTATGCCACCTTGCCGAAGATAATGTGGTGACACCAAGACCTTGTTTATTGGAACTCCTAACATGCGGAATCAACGGATAGAGCCCACCAACGCATCTACCTCTGTAGAGAATTCTCCTCGTTGTTTGGTCCTTAATCAAGAAGAACAAAAGGATGAAACTCAAGAAAAACATGATTGTCCAAAGCAATACGATGAACAGAGAGGAGATTTGTTCTAGCATGAGGTGAATAAAGAATTTTTTTAAGATGAATGGGTCGGCTAGAGGTATGTAATACTGACTGACCAACATGATCTATTCTCATACCTGTTCCGTTTGCACCATGGATCTGATCTTGCTCGCGATACTTGTCACGGATAGTTAGCTTCTCCAGCTCTCCTGTGAGGTGGTCGGTCGCCCCACTGTCAACGTACCAGTTCGTATCCACCCCGTATTGGGCAGCAGCAGCAACTTTTTCTTCCAGTGCGTCATCACCGAACCTGTACCAGCAATCTTTGGCACTATGGCCAAGCTTACCACAGATCTGGCACTGGATGGGATCATTCCCCCTTGCATTGTTGTTGCCAGGTGCCGGGCCACCGGGGCCTCCTGGACCTCCGGGACCGCCTGGTGCACCACCTGATCGGGCGCCCTTGTTGCTGTTGTAGAAAGGACGCCCGCCGCCGCCCTGCTTTTTCTTGTTGTAGCCTCCGTAGCCGCCGCCGTAGCCACCACCGTTTGGCTTCTGCTGCTGCTTGCCTTGAGGAGGCGGTGGTCCACCACGACGTGCGACGGTGTTAGCAGAGGACTTGAATCCTCCGCCACCGGCGCCGCCCGTGAAGAGCTCCACTCGCTGATCAAAGTTGCAGATCTGCGAGTAGAGGAGGTCGACGGTGACTGGTTCGGTGCGGGCGTCCAGGGCTGAGACCACAGAGTTGTAGTCGAGGTCCAGCCCCGCGACAATGAAGGAGACAAGTTCATCTTCCTCCAGTGGCTTCCCGGCCGCAGCAAGTTCATCTGCGAAGCCTCGCATCCGGGAGAAGTACGCCGCAGCAGATTGGGTACCTTTCTGAGCATTGGCGAGGGAGATGCGAAGGTTATTGATGCGTGAACGAGACTGTGAAGCAAACATGTTACCGAGGCTTGTCCAGAGTGCGTGAGCAGTCCGGATGGAGGCGACGGAGACGAGCACATCTCTTGTCAGGTTGTTCAGGATGTGCCCGAGGACCTGCTGGTCCTGCCTGATCCATGTGTCATACGCTGGGTTTTGGATCGTCTGATCCTTGCCGTCCTTGTCCTTGACGACGGCGAGCTTCTCAGGCTCGGTGATGGAGCCGTCGAGGTAGCCATAGAGCCCTGCGCCGAGGAAGTGGGGGAGGATTTGTGCCCTCCACAGGAGATAGTTCTCCCTGGTCAGCTTCTCTGGGACCTGAGAACCAAGGCCGGAACCAGCTGGGGTTGATGATGAAGACGCCATCGGGTTTTTGGCGTAGATGTATTTGTTTCTAGGGTTCAGAACGTGGAGGAAGAGGATGCTCTGATACCATGTAAAAAATATGATGGAAGCGTTCTACCCTCTCGAGAGAGGGCCGCGGGTATTTATTGATAACGATGGGGCTTATCCCATGAGCGCATACATAACTTGAAGTACAAGAGAGAATATATAAAGATGAGAGTTTAAACTAGATACTAGTATATCTTTAATTAACTAACCCTATAACAAAAGTATATGCGCCGGCCCATAGGCCTACATGAGATATTTCAACACGGTCTACATGTACACATCTGGGTGATGAGTGACGACGATGATCTTTACCTAAACCGTAGCTGCCGTACGCGCGCTTTTATGCATGCCACGACCTACAGCACCCACGTCTGTAGTATATTCCCTTTTCACTTTCTGAATTTCCGCTCTTTTGTTTAGCTGATGAAATTGATATGGTGCCGAAAAGAGAGCACGTCCACCCCAACCTGTGCGGTTTGCACATCCAGCAATCCCAATTGGAAAAAAAAGAAATTGATATGAAAGTATCGTCGAAAAAAGAAGGTGGTTTGAAAGTATTTCCAGATGGATGAAAATGCTGCCAACACAAATCAAGTGAGATGCGCCATCTCGCACACTGTACAGTTGCATTTTGTACGTACGTAGTACGTACTACCTGCTGGCCAAGATCTATTGACAAAGAGCGGCTATATACGTGTGACGTGTGTGTGTCGTATGCACGTCGCGAGCATACTAATTAAGTTGCTGCGGCGGAGACGCTACTGTGCCGACGGCCGGCAACGGCCGGGGCCAGAGACGGCGGCCGAGGCCTGCGCCGCAAGGACGTCGGCGCGCTCGCAACATGTTTGGGGAGGGGGCGGCTCGGTGGCCGACGGCGCCGGCGACACGACGAGGGCGCGGCGGCAGGATGGGCAGGTGGAGCTGGAGAGCAGCCAGACGTCGACGCAGGCGGCGTGGAAGCCGTGGCCGCACGTCGGGAGCACGCGCACCTCGTCGCCGGGCGCGAACTCCGCCAGGCAGATGGCGCACTCCGGCTTTTCCCCCGCCTCCTCCTGGTCGCCCTGCTCCGGCCGCCACGACACGGTGGGCAGCGCTTGCAGCGCCTTCTTCTTGATCCCCTTGCACGGCGCCGCCACTGCCCCCGGCGCGTCGACGGAGAAGGCGGAGGGGTTGCACAGGCGGGAGCAGCGGGCCACCATGGCGAGCCTGACCACGCAGAGCAGGAAGCAGAGCACCGCCGCCAGGATGAGCAGCGTGTCCGTGTGCACGCTCGTCCCGCCGTGCGCCATGGCGGCTGCCGGAGGCGCGGCCAGTGCGGCGAGCCGGTCGACGGACTGCTGCAGCAGGTGGCGCGGCATTTTTCTCGTTGGTTCTCTTCTCTGTGGGGCAGGAAGTCTGAGATGTGAGCAGGGAGGGAGGAGCGCTGGAGTGGAGGAGGGAGGAGTTGCGTGCTGGGTGCTGCGTTTTTATAGGGTCTGGGATTAGCTCATAATACTCCAAGTGGCTTCATCAGGTGGAGGGATATGATTCATAATGAGGCTCATGCTAAGTGGGAGTATCACTTTCGAATGAACCATGCATTCTCCTACCTTGAAAATTCTGGTGGCATGGCATGTTTTCATTGCAAGCCACATTCTCTCTGCCTTTTTCATTCCATGGCCTGGCTCTTTTTTTGCCACAACTGGGCACATGTCACATTCCCAATTAGGTGCGACCTGTCGGTCTGGACAAATTAACCTGTGCCACTTCCGGTCTTTTCCTTCTTCTTAATATTATTGGCACAATAATGCTGCAACGTGCATTAAGAAAGGGAAGGTGGTGCAACTCCAGGCGAAGATGCAGACATTACTACAATTTTACTGTTGCTAGTCACGGTGCATGCTGCAGCCATGCATCTCAAACGTAGTGAACCGATCTATCGGACGTGCAAATGAGCATATGCTGTCGTGTGAAGGAGGGGGGCACGAGAGAGATTCCACGGCCAAAAGCATGAGCAGAAGACAAACAAAGCGCCGATGATCGAAGGGACAATTGGCATTGGAGAAAGAAGAAAATAGCCTTGCGCGTGGCGCCCACGTAGCATAGAGTAGGAGCAACGTGAGACGAGACCGACCAGAGTCAGCAGACCCATGTGTAGGGTGTCCCGCCACGTCAGGTTCGTGTGTCAAAACCAAACCAAAACCCAGAGATCCGGATAACCATAGGCGCCTTCCGCACATCACATGCCAGGAGCAGCTCGTGTCCGATCCCAAGGACCAAGGTACACTTTGTCAGTGGTCATCTGTACCAGCGCGTCTGTACTATAGACTATAGTCCACGGTGTTCACATAGATAGAGAAACCGTCTTGGTTCAATGCATGCATGCATGCATGCTTCTGTGCAACTTCATTGGAGAATACAGGACATGCCATGCAAAGAGCCCTTGACGGGGAGGATTGGCCGGCGTGCGTGCGTAGCACACGGCACGGCGCAAATTGCCCGGCAACACGTGCTCCGCTGCGCTGCGCTCCGGCGCTGGCCTAAAACCGCCACTCACGACCGAGATGATTGGTGATGCCCTAGCTAGTGGCGGCCCCGTCCCGACGCCATTGACGGACGGACTCCGGCTGCCGGGGTTGGGACGGCGACCCGGCCACTCCGCGCGAGTTGGGACACCTCCCCCCAGCTCCCAGCTGCCACCTTTGCCCTCTGGCTTTTAACTGGATCACCGATCACGTTTTCTTTCTTTAAGCTCCTTTCCCCCGGCCACTTGTTATCTGGATCTCAATCGGCAATCATGTGTGGTTAGAACTAACCAACGGGATCCAAAGGCGGGCAAATTGGCAAAGCAAAGCGTAAAAGAGAATTGTCTACTCGATCGAGCACCACACCCACCCAGGGCGCAAGATAAGATTGTATATCTATCTAACCCTTACACGGTCAGACGCCGGCATGATTGGCTTAATACGTTCCTGCTGACTGCTTAGCCAGCAAAGCCTGCTCTTTAGTTTACCGGACGATCGACGTGGATTGATCGGTGCTGCCGCCGGCGGTGGCCGGAGTCTAAATAGTACTTCGAGGGTACGGGGCGCGAGAGGTCAAGGAACATTCGAATCGATTCCTAGGGAAACTTGGTGCCCCGTCCCGCGTTGCACTTCGCATGGCTGGGGGGTCAGATGCTACTGCTACAAAGCAATGCGTCTGTGAAAAGGAGATGATAAGACGATTTGTTAAGCGCAGTGCCTACTAGACCCATTACAAAATTGTATACTACTACTACTATAAACCCTACCTCCCTCTCACATTGTCAGCACCCGCCTGATTGGTGGCTGCTTGATCACCGCCGCAATCCGCCGCAATCGGAGAAGGCCCTAATCGCTGCTCGATCCACCAGCTCTTCTAGCGGCCGACGTGGATCGATGATGAAGGTAGGTATGGAGCGCGTTTTGACGAGGAGATTAAGAGCAACTTCAACGCATCGATTCAAACGGACGCTCATTTTATCCGTGTTTCGTCTGTTTCGATCGGCCTAACGGACGAACTGGTCACTTTTTGGTTTGCATTATCAGTGCGCCCAACGGTAGCCGGCCCTTTTTTGACATGCCCACCCTGACATTTTGCCACACACGGAGCAGCCAGTGAAGCTCGCAGTGGCTGGGCGCCGGCAGGAACGAGCGTCGGCACATATAAGCGTCTGCGCACGACGGGCGCCGACAGGGACGAGTGGCAGAGAGAAACGGAGGCGGGATGTGGTGCGTGGGTGGGTGGACCAGCGGGGAGAGAGAAAGAGAGAGAAATGGGTCTACCATATATAGCCATGCCTCGCATGCAGCGGATAGAGGCAGACAAAGAGGACACAGAAAATGTCTACTTTGTTTTCGTCTTCCATCCAAATATAAGACAAATTTGTATTGTAAGATTATCTCCAACAACCACGCGCCACGCTAAAAAGCGTTTGCAGCGCGTTGTTCGTGAGTTTTTGCGCGGCGAGGAGCACTTGCTTCAGCGGTCGCTGCAAATTATAACGCGCGCGAGCCGCTCCAATAGGCGCTACAAAAAAAACTACGCTATGCACTCAAAACAAATAAAAAACCATAGGCATAGATAAAAAAAGCAATACATAGATAAAAAAGCGATACATAGATAGTTCATCTAGCATAGATAGGTAAAAACGACAATGAAACTAGAAACTACTCCGAATCGTTGTCCTCCTCCTCGCTTGTGTTGTCCGATGTATCAAGCCACGCGTCTTCTCACCGCTCATCATTGCTAGAGAAGAATGATGCCGCTCCCAGATCGCACTGCAATATCGCCAGTGCCTTCCAACGACGCCTGTCCGTCCGTTTCGCGCCGCCTTGCCCTCATCTGCGCCCAAAAGGCGTTCACGTTGGCGACGTCCTCCGAATGGCGCTGGCGCCACTCCGCCATGGCTTGCTCCTCCACCTCAGCGATGAGGAGGCGGCGTTGCTGCCGCCGACGGCCGGCGTCAGTTATTAGCCGCGGCGGAGGGGCGACGGCCTGTGCCTGCTCGCACGTCCAGACATGGTGGAAGTTCATATCTGTGGGCGAGGCCTCCCGAGGCGCCACGCCGCCGCGTCGTACGTGCGGGCGGCCTCGTGCGCGTTCTCGAACGTGTCGAGGCCGAGGCGGGCGTCTCCGGACCGAATCTCAGCGTAGAAGGCGCCGGAGGGGCGCTCGCGGACGCTGCGGTAGCGTAAAGATCGACGGCGCGCCGGCCTGGTGGCGCGGTGATGGCGTGTCGGTGGCAGGGTGAGGAAGCGGCAGAGGAAGCGGGAAGAAAGCGCGTGACGACGTGGATAGCGATGAAAGGCCGCGTGGCGAGCGCAGCAATTTATAGACGCGCCGGAAGCGGTGCATCAAATATAACGCACGCGACCTTCCGCTTTTTCACGCACGCGCAGTCGTTTTCCGCGCGTCTGAGTTTTCCGTCACTGATGGAGCGCGCGAAATGATCCCGCGCACATTAGAATCGCGTTTTGCCGTTCGCGTGGTTTTTGCTGCTGCTGATGAAGATGCTCTAATAAATGAATCTGCACGGACACCGAACAACACAAACGGGCGCTAGCGGACCAAATGGGTCGTTGCGTTGGTTGCCCGCACGTCCATCCGTTGTTGCATTTGCTTGCATGGGTTCGGTCATCAACTCATCATTCGTAGGTGGGCCCGACCGTCGACGGATGGCCATGAACGGCATGAGAGCACTCATTCATGGCGATGGTCCTCCGTCCGTACGCACACGCGTCCGTGCAGCCCGGCGTACCTACTCTACGCATCGGCATATCGCGTCACATCACAACGCGGCCTAATATATCCCGCGCGCCCAGCGCCACCACCTTTGCCGGATGCCGGCCACCACGCGACGCGACGGGACACGACGAGGGTGAGCACGACCGCCTCGCCGCCGCCGTGCGTGATCGACGCCTCCCTCCACTTGACCATGCTTTGCTTTACCCACACCCACCCCTCTTGCGGCAAAGCGATAGATCGGCATGCATGCATCTTGGTGACTGCTGACGATGATATTTTAGTTAAAGCGTAGGGTTTCTACATGCGCTTTATATATGCAACAGCACACACGTCTGCATATTCTTTTTTTTTAACCTTTGACCGGCATTTGTTAGAGATCGTAAACCCCCTCTAAATTAACTGGAGTTGATGTACAAGTATTTACACATCGACGAACATGTTACATACACTAACCAACTGATGCATCGTCGCACGCTGTACAATTTGCATTTTCTACGTGTGTACGTGAGCGACCATATACGTGCGTATGTCGTATATGCATGTACGTTGCGAGCATACTGCATACTACCATACGACCGAGGCCTGTGCAGCCGCGACGGCGTCAGCGCGCTCACAGCACGTTTGAGGAGGGGGAGACTCGGTGACCGCCGGCGATTGAGCGGCCGCGACAACGAGGGCGCGGCGGCAGGAGGGGCAGGTGGAGTTGGACAGGAGCCAGACGTCGACGCAGGCGGCGTGGAAGCCGTGGCCGCACGTCGGGAGCACGCGCACCTCGTCGCCGCCCGCGAACTCCGCCAGGCAGATGGCGCACTCCGGCCGCTCCCCCTCCTCCTCGTTCCTCTGCTCTGGCCGCCAGGACACCGTGGGCAGCGCTTGCAGCGCCTTCTTCTTGATCCCCTTGCACGGCGCCGCGACTGCCCCCGGCGCGTCGACGGAGAAGGCGGAGGGGTTGCACAGGCGGGAGCACCGGGCCACCATGGCCAGCCCGACCACGCAGAGAAGGAAGCAGAGCACCGCCGCCAGGATGAGCAGCGTGTCCGTGTGCACGCTCGTCCCGCCGCGCGCCATGGCGGCCGCCGGAGGCGCGGCCAAGGCGGCGAGGCGGTCGACGGACTGCTGGAGCAGGTGGCGCGGCATTTTCCTCGTTGGTTCACTGTGGGATAGGAGGATGAGATGAGAGCAGGGAGGTCTCTGTGTGGAGTGGGAACTAGGTAGGAGGTAAGAGCTGGGTGTTGGTGCTGCGTTTTTATAGGGTCTGGGATTGGCTCGTACTCCAAAAGTGGCTTAGGTGGAGGATATGATTCATAATGAAGCTCATGCTAAGTGGGAGTATCACTTTCTTAATGAAGCTCATGCTTAGGTGTGACCGGTCGGTCTGGACTAATAAACCTAGGGACTGTCTAATTAACATCCGGCTGAAAACCAATTGGGTTTCAGCCGGATTTTTCAGCTAACTAGTAATGCCACAACTGCCTTCTGTACCTTGTCCCCAGTATGTACCTTTTCCTGTCTCACTCGTTTAAACAAACCACATATATCAAACAGAAACTTAACGTGTCCGCCCCCTCCTTCTCTAACCCGGACAGAAAAGCAACGAAGTGATGACGTTTCCTCCATGTTCTGGGACACAAGCTTGAAGAAGAACATGGCTGAAGAAGCAAAGGATTCACAGGTAAACATCCCCTTCTTTTGAATTCGCCATACATCTAGCATGAGTAAAATAGATCTCTCTCGTGAACGTGTACATCTGAAAGAAACAACAGTGTGTGGATCATTACATAGCTGAAGAAACACATCAGATTTACAAACCAAATCTAAGATCATAGGCAGGATAATCATGAAAAAAAACTTACTAAAACTGTAAGAAAATATAACACAGTTCAAATCCTCACTTACTTGCTGCAGGGACCAAAAGTTGAGCTCTGGAACTGTACTTATGTGTCACAAAAAGAACACCAGAACCAGGAAGAATACTAGACCAAAGTAGTCTAGGGAGACAGGAACAGAGAAACTACTTGCAAGTTTATGAATTCATTTACAACACATGGTCAAAAGAAAAAAGGATTAAGGGGAGCATGTTCAGGAAGATATGAAATCATTTAGGAAAAAAAAGCTTGAACAAAAAAGTCTAGGAATAATGTATTTTCAGAAAGCTATGACTATATTTTCACATACTTTTGCACTCACAAAGAAATGTACACTAATCAGAAACTATGATGAGTTTACAAATTTACTCCTGAAGAAAAGCAATGAATCTATGACAGAATTTTATAAACTTTGGAATTGTATACAAATACCTTTTATTTGTACTTGAAGCTCGAAATGCTATGACCTTTTACTTGTAATTTTGAATGAGTACACACTGAAACTAAAATGATCATTACATATGAATTAGGACAATGATCAGATAAAAAAAACTGGAAAAATATCAGGCTACGCACTAATACTATTGGCACAAACAATGTAGATAGTTCTTGTTTATTCAATAACGATTCACTACTTATACTTTTTTTTAAATAATATGCATAGGTGCCTGCAATGGGATCAAAGGGAATGGAATCTAGCATGAAAGTGGAGGAGCTGTAACTCGAACATGACCAAGCTGATTTCCTTAATGTATGACTTTATTGTAGCATTAGAAACTGAAAAAATGAACAAACATATTCAATTATCCTTTTCTAACTTGATTCTTGACAAAATATCAGAGTCGGGCATACACTTTTACTCAACTACTTGAAGCGCAAATGATGTACAAGGTACTATCACTGTGAAATTTACATATAAGATGACAGGGAAAGAAATCCTGCAAAAAAATTCGGAGCTAATGCAAAAAATATTGTTCTACTTTGAGCAGCTACAGGTTGCTACCAAAGCAAAAGAGCAGATCACAATCCACAGAGCACTCTCGTTATAAACTTAAAATCCAGAGATCACCAGAAAAAGCAATAAGAACTAGCATTCACTAGTGCACTGAATGTTACTCTCTCCATAATGAAATATAAGAGCGTTTAGATCACTAAAGTAGTGATCTAAACGCCTTTATATTTCTTTACAGAGGGAGTACAACATACACAGATGAGCAGATCATACACAATAGCAAAATCTAACAAGTGTTTTTACACTGGTTACAGAGGAGCAGAAAAAGAACCTGTCAAACTAAATTACACTGGCATATAAGGAATTTACAGTGGCAGACAAACTATAATTACAGTACTAGACCATTAAAATTTCAGTGGTAAGCAATAGAAATCACAGTAGTGGACCAGGGTGAAAAATCCTTTGTAATTACATTTTAAATTACATCGCTAGACCACTGGAATTACAGTGTAAGCAAATTGTAATTCTAGTGCTAGACCACTAGAACTACAGTGTAAAATACAGTGTATTATATAGAGAAACCAATTTGTTCCTGCTCAGAATCCAAAATGAAACTATGATTGAATATTAGAAACTTTGGAACTGTATAAAACAACAAATTACTGCCACTTGAACTTAGAATTACTATGATCTTTTAAATGTAATTACTATGAAGATCACACTGAACTAAAAAAACTAAGCACTGATACTACATAGTACACACAAGAAACCAAATTTGGACCATCCTTTGTACCCTCGTTTGACAAAACATTACCAGCAGATTTACTAACTGACGAATTTGATGCTTTCTTCGTAGATTCAAGAGCAAGAGACTTTTGCAACCTACACAGCAAAACCAAAATGACATCAGGGTAAAAAATAAAATAAAGAAACAACCAAATGCATGAAAGTAAATTAAACAAGACAGAGATTGGCTACCTGAAAAATGCTCAGACCAAAAAATCCACATAATAGACCCTACTCAACTGCAGAGTACAAGGGTAAAAACCAACTAACAGCCCTAGTCAAATTCACTAAGGGTAGAATCCACTGAAATATTACAGTGTCTGTAAGCCCACTGAGAATTACACTGCAAATCCAATAAGAATTACACTATAAAATCCACTAAAGATAATACATGAATAATCCACATAATAGTCCCTAGTCAAATGCAGATTACAAGGGTAAAAACCCACTAACAGACCCTAGCCAAAATACACTAAGAATTACAGAGTAAATACACTGAAAATTACACTGTAAAAATCAAGAGTTAACAGTGCAAATACAAGGTAAATCCAAGAAAAACTAATAGTCACTATAAAGACACTAAGGATTACAGTGTAACTCCACTAAGAATTACACTGTAAAAATCAAGAGATATAGTGTAATTCTTATAGGATTACAATGAAAGATCAACTAAAAACTACAGAGTAAATTCACTAAGAACTACAGTGTAGATCCACTGCAAATTACAGTATAAATCCAATAAACATACAATATAAATCCACTGAAAATTACAGTGTAAATTCACTAAAAAATACAGTGTAAATTCACTTAAAATTACAGTGTAAATCTGCTAAGAAATTACACTGTAAATCCACTGAGAATTACAGTGTTAAACAGTAAGAAAACACACTGTAAATCCACTAAGAAAACAGGGATTTCTAGTAGAGCAATCAGACATTTACATAGCTGAAAATGAAAAGGACATTCTGTCTCACAGAAACACGAAGAACAGAGCTGAAGTCTGCAAGCGAAACACACTACATACGACAACATAAGCTTGTTGACTAGCTATACAAGCAAAATCGCAAAAAACACTACATATAAACCTACATCAACAAACGACCCAGGGGATATATAACCTATAGCCACAAACAAAAACACTAGAGAATCCAAGGTGAGCAGGGCACTAAAGTCACTGAAACACGATCCAGCATATACGAAATTAGCAGCTGCCCACGACAACCACCAGAATTCCAACTACTAACTGAAACAGATCAAATAAAACCTACAAGGTAATCCCTAACATAGCACACAAGACAGATGAGATTCAATACCACTAACAAACGCAACAAGGCATCTGCATCAAAATAGCTGCGGGGGATTACCACATGCGAGATCCAAAGGGGGATAAGTAGCAGATCTGACTGACAAATCCCTACACACTACCAAATCAGACTTGAGGATCAAGCTACATACCGAATACGACGCACAGAAACGCCGGGCGGAGAAAAATGGGGCCGGCGATGGGGCAGAACCGAGAGATGTTGCAGACCTCTGGCGGGGGAAAAGGCGAAGGAGAAGGAGGTGGCGGGGCAGCCGGAGGAAGAGCGCCGGACGCCTGACAACCACCCTTCTGAATCAAGCGGACAGGGCAGCTCAGTCGCCATGGATCTCTTTCTCTCTGTCTCTCTCGACACGGGAGTTGATGGGACAGAGGCACGACGCGGGGCCGAAGCGAGAGAAAACGCAAACAGGTCTCCCCGGAAATTGAGCGGGCCCGATAAGAAAACAAATCAACTGATAGGACAAGAAAAAAAAACGAAAACACAAATCTCGGAACAGAGAACGGACGGCTCACAAAACGGATGAAAGCCAAAAGATTTCATCCGGATGAAAATTAGCATTCCCGTAAACCTATGACTCTTTCTTTTCTTATTTTTGTATAATCAATAATGCTGCAACTTCAAGCGGAGATGCGGACATTACAATTTTACTATCACTTTGCACTGCTCCTAGTCACAGTGCATGCGACTGGCATGCATCTTAAGTGTAGTGAACCGTTCTATCGGACGTGGAAATGATCATATGCTGTCACCTGAAAGAGGGGCACGAGAGAGATTCCACGGCCAAAGGCCGGAGCAGAAGACAAACAAAACGCCGATGATCGAAGGGACGGACAACTGGAGAAAGAAGAAAAGTAGCCTCGCGCGTGGCGCCCACGTAGCATAGAGTAGGAGCAACGTGAGGTGAGAGTGAGAGTGAGACCGACCAGAGTCACCAGACCCATGTGTAGCGTGGTCCGCCACGTCAGGTACGTGTGTCAAACCAAACCAAAACCAAAAGTGGATCCGGATAACATAGGCGCCGTACGCATGCACATGCCCGCCTGCGGCAGGAGTAGCTTTGTGATCGATCCCAAGGACCGACGTACACTTGGTCACCTGTATACTAGCGCATCCCATAGTCCACGGTGTTCACATAGAGAATGAAACCGTCTTGGTTCAATGCATGCGTGCTTCTTTGAGGGTTCATCGGTGAACACAGGACCATGTCCA